GATCCAGTCCCTTCTCACTCCATGGTCATCATGGTCATTGCTGAGAGACAGGAGGTGCAAATGACCTTGTCTGTCTTTTCTCTAAGCCTTGTGAGAGGACCACCAGGTACTCAGCCCTCAACCAGGGGGGCGGGGGATTTCAAGGTTCTCTGGAAGAACATGAGAGAAAGCTGAAGTCTTAGCCAGATACGGCAGATATGCAACCAGATCATTGAACAAACCAGTTCTTACCCCAAACCTCTAGCCCTGGGGTGAACTTACAGAATCGAGTAGAACCAAGAAAGCCAGTTATTCCAGGCATAATAGCCCCAGCTACTGCTTCCTTTCAGTTCCTTAGTGTCAGACAAGATCACCAAGTTCTCATCACCTCACTACTTCAAGACACTTGCTCATCTATTTATCCTTATAAAAAATATTCACATGCGAAGCTGGGTGCATTGGAGTCTCCTTTAGTCCCAGCACTCAGGAGACAGAGGCAGGCAGATCTCTGTGACCTCAAGGCCTGCCTGGTCTACAAATAGGACTCCAGGCCAATCAGGGTTATACAGTGAGTCAGTCCCTTTCTCAAAAAACAAAATAATAATTTACATATGAATGGAAACTTTGGTCTGTGTATAGCACCCCACCAACAAAACAAGTCCACCCTCAGAGGGAGCAGACAGAGGCCCCAGAACCTGGCCAAGAAGTCTGCGGGGAGATGAATACACACATAGGCTTACATTTGCACAAGAACATGCCCTGAGATAACCTTCTGGCCCTTAAGAACCAGTGCCTTCTAGGAATATAGGTTAGCTGAAGGACATGTTAATTGAAACAGACAAAGCTCCCATATACAGCAAGTCTCAGGAAAATGGGACGTGTGTCTGTTAGTGTTGAACACTATTAACTCAAGAGTGAAAAGCCGATTGTCGTCTACAGCTAAGAGAAGTAGATGGGAAGTCAAGGGAACTTTTCAGAAAACGTTTATATCACCCTGAAGCTGAGTGGACTGGACTGAGGCTCTATTACAGGAAAGCCCAGAATTGGGGGATCGAGGGATACATCTCAGGAAGTAGTGAGAAACCTGTAGCTATAAGGCCACTGTTTTTAAGAGACTGAAATAGGAAAAAAGACACAGGACTACAACAGCCGTTACCATCGAATAAAGGCAGTAGACCCAGGAGCAGAGCCTACAGGACTGAGCATGGATACAACATGAAAAGATGAAATGAAACTCAGAGGACATTGAGGGAAGGCTAGACCAAGGTCTGCTAAGTTTGAAGAGAAGAACAACCCTGAGAGAATGTTCCTCTCGGAACCAGAGGTGAAATCCAGAGCCCCAGGAACACTAAGCAGCTCTTCCACCAAACCACAACCCCAGTTCCACACACTGACATCCCCATTAAAAAAAAATCTTATGTAAACTAAGCTAGACTTGAACTCGAGGTCTTCAAGCCTCCAGGTCATAGCTACTGGAATTACAGGTAAGCATAACTGACTCCCTTTTCCTTTTTGAGACAGTCTGAACTTGCTCTGTAACTGTAACTCCAACAGCTCTTAGACTCCAGATCTTCCCTCCTCAGCCTCCAGAGCACCTGAGGTTACAGACCTGTGCCACTCGGCCCAGGGGAAGACACAGACTTCCCCAAAACATAACAAACTAGGTGACTCAATTGTATGGCCACCCTGTGATGCTCCTTGGTATAGTAGGACCCAGATAATTCTCTAACCAAAACACAGAGATTAGAGAAGATAGTATTGTTCCCTAACAGTATGAGATGGGTTTCTGGCAATTCTCCAGTGACAGAGGCGCCTGGCTAGAAGTTTGGGGGGCACTCAGACTGAGTGATTATAAGTAGAACCGAGAGAGGCTGAACCTGTCAAGGAGAGTCAGTGAAGCAATAGTCTGATCCAGCCATGCATAGTTTTCCCCATTGGCTAACGGTGGCCAGCAGGAGCTGTTGCCTGCATCTGTAAATCTACAGTCCTTTTCTAACAATAGCAAACACTACACAACATCTTCACTGAACATGAAGATTGCCCACACTGAGCATGTCCTATCATATGACTCATGCAGCAGCAATGGCAGTATCTACAGGTTGTATGGTATTTGCCAATACTGCCATAGGCCCAGCCCTGTATACTGCTGACTCCTGCTTCACAACCCAAGTCTCTGAAAGACAGGCCAGAAGGGTCTCTTTCTCTCTCACCACAAAATCCGTATAGATATCACAAGGTCACAGAGGACACCGTTAATGCTCCTAATCTCAGTTATCTCTGAGGAGATTTTAGAAACACATGGCAGCCAGCAATCAGAACTGAGAGGTAGGGCTTTGAAACAGTGTTCTGGAGGTGGGGCTGGGACGGGTCTTCTGTGATAACTACTGCCAATTGCAATCACTGTTCTAACAAGTTACATGTCCTAACTGGACCTCACAACTCCCCGCTATTTACCAACTTCCTTCACTCAGCACAAACATGCATATATCCCACAACATATACATCATTGGTTTGACATGAAAGGTGATCAAGGAAAGACAGAAGTACAAAGACGCTGGCTGCCCTACAAGATGAATGCTATCTTATGGAACAGTCTGTCCCAAAGTCCACCTATATCATGGTCCCTGAGTGTTTGTTTAAAATATAACCTAAGATAAATCCAGGGGTACAAGCCTGTAATGCCAACTTCTAGAGTGGCTGAGGCAAGAGGTTCACAATAGCCTGGACTACAGAGTTAGTTCAAGGCCACTTCAACTAGCAAGACCCCATCTCAAAATAAAAAACAAAAAGAGGATGCAATTCAATGATAAAAAAAGAGTATTTCCTGTCATGCACAAACCCTAGGTTCAATTCCTAGTACCACAAATAATAATTAAATGTACATTTCTGAACCACAGTGCACCCCGAGTTGGAAACTCCTGCTGAAATGATCTGTGTGTTGGCTAAAAGCTGTGCTAGAGAGCTCAGCCCCACACATGGATCTGTGACCTGTCCCAGCCCTCCAGTACCTAGAACAACTTTGTTTCACTAGAGGTTCCCACACAGCGACTAGCATCACTTCAGATTTCTTTTTGCCCTTTTCTGGGGATTGAACCCACGACCTCACACATGTCAGGCAAGCGTTCTACCCCTAAGCTACACCCAATTCAATTTTTTTCCTCCCCAGATGTATCTTCATTACTTTGACAAACACCTTCAACCTTTCAATCTACTAGAATCTGATGGTATGGACTTATGGCGGCTTCCCTCTAACAGCAGAAAACAATTCTTAAACACTATCCACTTACCATGTTGCTTTCTCTTCTCCTGTAGAAACCTTGCTTCTTCTAAAAGCTGCCATCCACTTCCAGAGATCAGAACTCCCCAAGCCCAGAGCAGCTCCGCCCAGCAGGGGCAACAAATCCCTGCTTACTTCCCATGAGCAGGCCTTATCTTGGAGAGCCATCTAGTCTCTCTTTTGACTTTACCCAACGCCACATTTTTCTCCAGATCTTCCAGATTCATAGCCTACAGCCTCTGCCTACCCAGGAATTCAGGAAATCCAGCACTACTGAAGACTCTTGCAGAGGCAGCTTAAGGTTAAATTTTCAGGGGCTGGTGTGTGTCACCACAGGTACTAGAGATTGTCCTTCAAACATCTTCTCTACCACCATCATTATTGGACTGTGGTCTCCTTTCCCAGAGTAGATTTCAAAGGCAGAAATTAATCTGGTCCTAATTCAGATGCCATTGGAAAATCCCTAAACATAAAATCTTAGTCTTTGTAGAGGGCCTGGGTGCCCTTGTCTTGCCTATACCAAACCTCTCCAGTTCTACACTGCCTCGCATCCTTCTAGGGACATTTGAATAAAGGACAAGGGCAGTAGGAAACACACATGTAAAACCCAGCCACTCCCTAATAGCAAAGCCTGAGGGTCCCCTTCCACCCTTTTTGGTACTGTCTGAGTAACAGCATAGCTCTCAAGTCTCTCTCCAGACCTTTTCACGCTCCAATTGTTCTGTTTTGCCTTTTCTTTCTGTCCTAGCTGCCCAGAGAAGTACATGGCCACTGTCTTCAGGTGTGGCTATAGATGACACCCCTGTCCCTCTGTGCTCTAGATTCCTTTGCCTAGCTGCTCAAAACCAGCACAGAGCCATCTCACTCCCTTTATTGGGATTAGTGAAGGCAGGCAGAGGTGAGTGTCCAGTGTGGTGACAGCAGAGGTGAGATGTTACAGTGCACACTGGCTTCAGTCCATCTGTGAAGGACAGGACAGCCGTGTGTGCCACTTCCCCACATGAGCTCCACCCGGCCTGGCACTTCTGCCCTCATGACCCCTCTCCCTCGTTGCCGCCAAGTGGCATCTTGAGCAAATTTGGCAGCTCTGGGTTTGCCGCAGTGCCAGAATCTGAGTCACTGGTCACATGCCAGTGCAATACTGCCAATTGTGGCGGCATCTACTTGGTTGGGTGCCAAGCAGTAGGACCCAGATGGTGATGATGAAAGACAGGGGAGGCAAAGAAAGAAGAAGGAGAGGGAGGCGCCAGGGAGAAAAATCAGCCACACTTGTAAGAGTGGACACTCCAAATGGGATCCACAAAACAAGGTACGCCTTCCGTTTCGCAGCCCAGCTTCACATGCAAGCCCTTCCCTCCCCACTACACCTGCAATAACGGTACATACGGTGCAGGCTAGGGGATTCGGCCATCTTCAGTGGGGAAATGACTGGAGGCCAGCAGGACCGCCAGGGCTCACCACTCTTCTTCCTTGGGGTCTTAGCAATGGTATGCTTCCTCCATTGTGTCCTCACACGGCACTCCACCTGTCATTCAGCTCTCCATATCTAAGAGGGAATGGGAAGGAGGATCTGGCAGAAAAGAGTCTATTCTCCCAAAGAAAACATCCGTCATCTCTCCACCTAACTCTTGGCCCAACAACTTTCTCTACCAATTAGAGAGGCCACTGTCACCCTCCCCATTCCACCCAACACCAGAGCCATGCCAGGCTCCATGGGCAGTGCCAGCTTCTCTTGTACCCCAGTTCCCCTGCTGTTGTCTTCAGGGTTCTCTGAAAAGGCCACACTGCTAGCCCAAACAGGTTCTCCCTGGGTAGTAGTGGCACAGTCCCTCCTCCTACCTCTTCCATTCTTTGTTGGCTCTTCCCCATCTACTCTCTTCACTTCGCTTCCTAGACTGGAGCAGAGATGACTCCTTCATAGTTCAGACACTTCTTAGAGCTCATCCTAGAGGGACAGCGGCATCAGCAGCACACCCCCTCTTTACCTCCTTGTCCCTCTAGTCCCCATAACCCCAGATCTGGGCATAAGCCCAACAGTTGTGATGCCAACAGCTCTTGTGCGCCGCACCTTCCTCCCAGAGCACAAGGACTCCTGTCGCTGCCCCCTCCATCCATCCCTCCCATCTCCATGGGCACAAGGGTGGCAGCTGCGATGCCAATGCCTGCAATCATGCACGCTCTTCTCCCCTCCAAGGCCCCACACCTCTCCCCTCCTTCTTCCGCTCCATCCTTCTGTCCTTCTAGTTGGATGCTACAGTGGCAACCGCAATGTCAACCCCCACCCATGCCCAGGAGGCTCACATACAACACACGCGTATGCGTACATGTACATGCGCGCGCACACACACATACACACACGGCCCCATGAGTGCCAGGCAGCGGTGGCAGACACACAGCAACGCAGTGACTGGTACCCGAGGAGGCAGCCAGATTCGGCACCTGATCCAGTGCCCATTTGGGATTGGGTGGTAGGCGGGCAGGCGAAGGGGTGATGGAGGCAGGCGATGGCCCTAGGTTGGCAGCCGATGGAGCTAGGAGAATGGAGGGAACAGATGCTCTTTGCCCAGCCTCCCTCCCTCTCTCTCCCTGAGATCAGTGCCAAGCTGGGGGGATGGGGAGAGGGGAAGATGGGGGAAGGGTGGCATTTGGAGAGCTGGCAGGCGGGGGTGGGGGGAAGCTGGGTCCGCCCAAGCTGGGCAGTGCCGGCACTGGCTGCCGCCTCTCCACTCTGCCATCTGTCTCGCTTTGCTCCCCCACCCCCTTTCTCTCTTTCTTTCCCTTTCCCTTTCTTTCTCTTTCTCCTTCAACCTAGTAAAATGGAAAGAGGAGGGCAGGGTCCTCATTCCACCCATCCCAACCTCTGTACCACCCCCTTCTTCCTGCCCACAACTCACCACACCACACCACACCAAGCCATCTGGGCTCTCTCTCTCCTCCTGGCTCGGCCACCTTCTTTCACTCGCCTTCACCCTCATGCCAAAACAGGTGCAATTTAAATACATACAATATACGTTATATGATATATATATGCATATATATATGTACATTAAGAGGCAACTTAAAATGAAAACTATTTTCTTTGGAATGTCCTGTCCTTCAGAGTCTGGGTCCTCGTTGCCAGTATTTACGTGGCAGGCACAGGGAGGGGGCCCTGTCCTCAGCTGGTGCCCATGAATCCCATGCCAGGGAGGAGGGGTGGGGGGTGGGGGGGTGGGGTACCGGGAGAGCTCTCTTCTGTCTGCGCCCGTGGTTGTTTCTTTTTTCCCTACTCTTCTACTTCCGGAGTGGATTCAAATAGATCTAGAGTCTTCCCCGCCCCCAGCCCCCCAGCCCTGGCTTCCAGGGCCCCTTCTCTCCCTGCTTTTCATTTTATTCCTCGATCACCCTTTCCGGTTTTGTGTGTGTACGTGTGCGTGCGTGCAAGTGTGCTTGCATCCTTGGCAGTGGGCACCGTGCCAGCCACCACACTGCCATCTGGATGCCTTCTGCAGTCTCGGCTACTTCTCTCTGCCACCTTCAGCTCACAACCCCCCCAGCATCCTAGCTCCCCACCCCCAGTCCCAATCATTAATTAGCTACTGAATTAATTAAACCGTGAATGCTAATTAACATTCCTACAGGGCAGGCTGCCAGGCTGGGGGCAGAGGGGGATGAGAAGACAAGTGGAGATCTGGAGGCAGAGGGAACACAGAGGAGACAGAAGGAACCCGAAGGAGGGATGAAGGATAAAGGATGCAGGGTGGGGCAGACCGGGCAGGGTTGCAGGGAGAGGGCACTGACTTGGAAAGTGGGTGTTAAACACCTAGAGGTAAGTGAATGCAACACAGCCTTCCCACCCAAGTAAGACACGGGAAATTCCTTGTCAACTTACCTCCGTTGCAATGTTAGGACGGCTCAGTTGGAATGGGACACTCTGACGGTGGCATGGCTCAGGGGGTAACAGTGCTTGCTGCCAGATGTAGCAGCCAGAGTTCAGTCTCTGAGAACCACGCGGTGGAAGAAGAGTACTGACTCCAGTCAGGGTCCTCTGGCCTCCGAATACACACCATAGCGTCCACGCCCATACACATGTGCGCATGCATGCACACACACAAATAAATAAATGTAGTAAAATAAATAAACGAGGGTTCACTCTATAAAAAGAAAGAAAACCAACTCTAAAACCATGAGTCAACAGCTATGACACATCAGCTTGTCACGGCCCTCATACCAGGTAGGCAGAAGGTTCTGAACTCCGCAAGGCCCATGTGGAGCCCATCTCCTTCTGGCTGCCATAGACACCCAGTACACACACACACACACACACACACACACACACACACACACTCAGGCAAAGTTCTCATACACATAAAAATAAGTAAATCTTTAAAAAAACACATTACATTAAAAAAAATGTTAACAGTGTCTAACCTACCTATTCCAAACTCATTAGGTCATGGAACCCTGTGTGGTGTGTGTGTGTGTGTGTGTATTGAACTTATTGGCGGGAGTACATGTATGCCACAGAACAACTTGTGGGAGCCAGTTTTCTTCTACCATGGATCCCTCGGGTGGAACTTAGGTGTCAGGTTTGGCAGCCATACCTTTACATGCTGAATCAATTCATTGACCCTCTGCTTTTGTTTGCCTGTCTTTTGCTGTGGAGTTCAGGCAGGCCTCAAACTTAGTATGTAGCCCAGGTTGTCCTTAAATTCACAGCAATCCTCCTGAGTGCTAAGATTAAAGATACGAGCCACCAAGCCTAGCTGTACCTTTCAGTTTTCTTTCTTTTTACTTCTTTTCCCCTCTAAGGGTTGAACCCATGACCTGTGTAGCCCTTAATTGTCCTTTCTTCACATGAAGTACTCTGATTTGTAGAAAGCCCTGCATCAGATGACCAGGAGAAGTTCTGGTCTAGAAGCTGGCAGACAGATCCATTGTTTCAAGATAAAGAGGATTCTTCTTTTTGTTTTTGACACAAGAACTGTCTGTGTAGTCCTGACTGTCCTAGAAATAACTATCTCAAATTCACAGAGATCCACAGGCCTCTGCCTCCCTAGTGCTGGGATTAAAGGTATTCACCACCATACCTGGCCTGGAGAAGAGGATTCTGAGTCCATAAAAGGACAGCACAGAGCTCTGTTGTCCAGATATGAAGCAGAAGTACCGGGCCAGCTCCCAGTGGAGAAACATATTGCTCTTTAGCATCACAGTGTCTTAGGGTCACTATTGCTGTGATGAAACACCATGACAAAGCAGCTTGGGGAGAGAAAAGGTTTATTTGGCTTACACTTCCACAGTGCTGTTCACCATCAAAGGAAATGAGGACAGAACTCAAGCAGGGCAGGAGCCTGGAGTCAGGAGCTGATGCAGAGGCCGTGGAAAGGTGCTGCTTACTTGCTTGCTGCTCGTGGTTTGCCCAGCCTGCTTTCTCATAGAGCCCAGAACCACCACCCAGAGATGGCACCATCTACAATGTGCTGGGCCCTCCCCGTCAAGTCACTAATTAAGAAAATGCCCTACAGGCTTGCCTAGAATCCTTTTTTTTTTTTTTTTTTTTTTTTTCTTCTTCTTCTTCTTTGTATAACAACTCTGGCTGCCCAGAACTTGCTCTGTACACTAAGCTGTCCTCGAACTCACAGAGATCTGCCTGCCTCTGCCTCCCAGAGTGCTGGGACTAAAGGCATGTGCCACCACCTCTTACATTTTATGATTGGATTGTGGTGGCTCACACCTTTACTCCCAGCACTTAGGAGCAGAGGCAGGCCTGGTTTACAGAGTGAGTTCTAGGACAGCCAGGGCTACGCAGTGAAACCCTGTCTTGAAATATATATATATATATATATATATATATATATATATATATATTTTTTTTTTTTTTTTTTTTAAAGAGTCTCACATTAGCTGGGACATGTGGCCCAGCGGCATGAAGAGGGTCTAAGCCAGGCCCTATGACCTTCTGAACATCGCTCTCATAATGGCCCACTCCCTACTACATCTTTTCCTGGCCCACTCATGGCTAAAGGAGAATAAAGCTATTTTTCAATCAGAGAAAGTGAGAGAGAAAAAACCTAGACATTTTTACAGGATATAGCTGTTTGTACACACACAGACACATATACAGACACACACACACACACACACACACACACACACACACACAGTGGTGGGGAGTGTGACAGTCAAGAGCTCTCAATAACCACAACCCAGCCCTCAGGACAATGTTTTTTGTTTTGTTATGTTTTGATGGTGTTTTGTTTTTGTTTTTTTGTTTGTTTTGAGACAGGGTTTCTCTGTGTAGCCCTGGGTGTTCTGGCTTTCGCTCTATAGACCAGGCTGGCCTCAAACTCACAGAGGTCCCCTCCCTCCACCTCCCAAGTGCAGGGATTTAAGGCATGAACCGCCGCCACCACCCATTCACCCATAGTTTTTAAAGAAAGCTATCTTTGCTAAATTATTCCTCCTGTCAGTGAGAAAGAAAAGCCCAGCTTGGTAGAATCATGGTTCAACCTGGCTCACTCTTCCTTCCAGAGCCTAGTTTATCTCTCAGACCCCTCAGCAGTGTGTCATTGTCAGTACCAGAGCCACTGCAGAGCTACAGAACAAATGATGGCTGCTGAATTATCAAATAACACTGCCAAGCCTGGCCAGCTCCCTACAGCAGTGGCAGGCTGCTACAAAATTCAATATGGATTCACTATATTGTCGTATGGAACCATCACTCTACCTAACAAGTATTCTCTAAGCCTCCTACCATCAGTGGCAAAGACAAGGAGAAGGCTGGTCAGGATTAGCCACTGGCAGTGAAACACAGGGAGCCAAGCAGAGGGACAGAAAGTGCTCAGTGCCCAATGTGAACTCCCTGCTTTGACCCCTCCTCCTGATATGCACCTCATGTTAGGGCCTTTACACTAGCTATTCTCAGGGCATTTCTCACATAACTGTACAGCCAGCCACCTGCCTTCCTGCTCTTTGTTGGCTGTGGTGGCTTTTCTTGGTTATCAACTTTTGGAATGAACTACAATACAGAAATGGAGGGCACACAGGTAAGATTTTTTTGTGGTGGGGGGAGGCTTGGCTTGGCTTGAAGTGGGCAAATCCACTTCTACCCAGACGTTTGAAATAAAAAGATGCACGCCTTGGATCCATATCGTGTGGCAGGAAGACACACCTTCAATCTGGACCACACCTTGTGCTGGAAGCCTATGTAAGGAGGTGGAAGAAAGAAGCTTTGCTCTTGTCCTGCTTGCTCTTTCTTGCCTTGCTAGCAAGCCTATTCCCTCACTGCTACTAGAGTCTTCTTTGGGATTCCAGTCTACTGAAGACCAGGTAAGACATCCAGACTGTGGACTGAGCAACTTCTGGATTCTTTGACCTTCGGGCCATAGTCAACTATTGTTGGATTAGCTGAACCACAGCCTATAAGCCATTCTAATAAATCCCCTTCCTAAATGTAAAGAGAGATTCATTCTGTAAGTTCTGCTACTCCAGAGGACCCTGCCTAATACATTGGCTGAGGCCTATCCTCTTCTCCCTATTTAATACAGCAATCTGTTCCCTTTACCACATTCCCTTTACCATGATATTTTTCCCCATTACATATATTGTCTCCTGACATATTACATAACCTGGTCATTATGTTTACCATCTGCTCCTGTTTCACCTATGACAGGCGCTCTCTACAAGGGTAAGGATCTTTGCTTTGTTTGCTGGTATAACCCTAAGCACCAACTGTTGTTCTTTTGCTGCACAGCTAATGCCTAAGAAACACAAACACGAGACTCAGCGACCACGTGGAGTTTATTGAGAGAGGGGAGAGAAAGAGGGGGTAGCTGGTGGCCAACCGAAAGTAGAAGAGAGAGAGAGGAAACAGAGAGGGATCAGAGAGAGAAACCAGAGAGAGAGCAGAGAGAGAGAAGCACTTGGTGCGCTTGCTTTAAAAGAGGCTTGCGCATGCGTAACTGAGTCCTCTGGCCGCCAGGTAAAGCTGATGTAGAGATGACAAGGCCATGAGCGTCCCGCCCATCCTCAGGGCGGGGGGGGGGGGCGGGGGGGGCAGGGGGGGGCGGGGGGGGGGCAGCTGGCTGCTAGTTCCTAACACCAACAATAGTGCTCGACATAGGAGGTGCCCAACAAGTATTTACTGCATGAACAAACCTAGACTGTGATGTGTCTATTTGAACAGATCAATCCATTTAGCTCATTATCTGGGGTTGGGAGCAAAGAGATGAGTTATCCCTCGGGATTCTGTTTTCTAGAAAGAAGGATGGCTAGAAAATGTCTCCACTCTCCTCTGTCTTCAAACATATGCCCATCTGAAGATGCTGGAGAATGGAGAGGATGTTTTCTGATGAGCCTTAACCTTCTTCTTAACTTGCAGAGCCAAGGAACTCTAACTTAAGTAAGAATTGGTTTGAAGAGAAAACTGAACCTAAAGAAAGGTCTAGAGACCTACAAGACTGCTGCCAACTAACAATGGGAAGGCTACCATAAATGCCCTTCCCAGATAGTGAGATCAACAACTAAC